GTCCTACAAGGAAAAAACCCCAGCGGGTGAACCACCAGAAGAGGGGGAGGTACACTATACAATAAAGGATTACCCTATGGTCCTGAGCTCCTGATACATTGTTTCTATTGTTGAATAGATGATTGAGATATAATTTCAAAGTCTATTCACCTAGAAATGAACACATAGGAACATATTTTGTATTTGTATGTATATATGCAATATCCATTTAAGCACCAAGTCTCAACTACCGATTACCAAGTCCCGACACTTGATAGTTGATAGTCAGTATTCAAGCTCCGAGTGCCAATATTGCCTACCAATATCTCAGTCAAATGATAACCAAACCAAGACCCAAGTTCCAAACCTGACTACTGAATACCAAGTATCAGTACTCGGGACTCGGGACTATTGGCTGGAGTACCCAACTATTGATTCCCAGGTACCGAGAATTAGAACCAAGTACCGAGTACCTGACTACTGATTCTCGGGTACCAAGTATCAGAACCGAGTACCAAGTACCTGACTACTGATTCTCAGGGTATCGAGTATCAGAACCAAATACCGAGTACTGATTCCCTTGTACTGAGTACTGAGTAACGAGATAACCAATTGACAAGAAAAAACTACCAATACACTCACCTTGGCTCAGCCTACAACTTTTGTTCAGGAACTTAAACATAATAATAACTTTCATTTTTCATTATCGCCGATGTTTCAGATTTCTTTAGCTTATATCTCGGTTAAATGATAACTGATGGACAAGAAAAGACTACCAATACACTCCCCTAGACTCGGACTACAACCTTCAGTAAGGAAGTTAAGCGTAATAACAACTTTCATTTTTCATTATCATTTGCCTATATTGACTACCAACCACCAACCACCAACCACCAACCACCAACTACCAACTACCAACTACCAACTACCAACTACCAACTACCGAGCACTGACAAATACAATTCCCAAGTTATTTCAACCCTACACCAATGGATAATACATACAAAGACAGAATTCATGTCCATTTGAAGTACCGCGTTTCAGGTTTTGGCACTCGACACTTGGTGATTTGTGCAATGAGTAGATGGGCATGTGGCATACATGTTTTCGGGCTTCAGGTTTCAATATTCAGCCCTTGGCACTCAATGATCTGTGTAATGTAAATGAACAATGAACATGTTGCACACCGGGTTTCGAGTTTCGGGTTTCAGCACTTGAAACTCGGTGATTTGTGCAACAAGTGAAAAATGGAAATGTTGCATACATATTTTCGGGTCTCAGGCTTCGGGTCTCGGCCCTCGGCACTCGGAACTCAATGAATTGTGTAATGTACATAAAAAATGGACATGTTGCACACTGGGTTTCAAGTTTCGTGCTTTGGCACTCGAAACTCGGTGATTTGTGCAGTAAGTGAAAAATGGACATGTTGTGTACATATTTTCGGGTCTCGGGCTTCGGGTTTTGGCCCTCGGCACTCGGAACTCGATGATCTGTGTAATGTAAATGAACAATGAACATGTTGCACACCAGGTTTCGAGTTTCGGGTTTCGGCACTTGAAACTCAGTGATTTGTGCAACAAGTGAAAAATGGAAATGTTATATACATATTTTCGGGTCTCGGGCTTCGGCACTTGGCACTTGGCACTTGGTTATTTGTGTGATATAAATGAAAAATCAACATGTTGCACACTGGGTTTCAAGTTTCATGCTTTGGCACTCGAAACTCGGTGATTTGTGCAGTGAGTGAAAAATGGACATGTTGTGTACATATTTTCGGGTCTCGGGCTTCGGGTCTTGGCACTGGGCACTCGGAACTCGATGATTTGTGTGATATAAATGAAAAATCAACATGTTGCACACTGGGTTTCAAGTTTCATGCTTTGGCAGAACTCGAAGCTGTTGTGATTTAGATATCACCCGAAACCCGAACACCCGAATGTCAAATTTTCAGTGCCAAACCCCGAGTGCCAGGTGCCGAGTCCTGAAACCCAGAACTCAGGATTTGACATTTGAGATGAACGAAATTTTTCAGACATGTTTGAATTAACCTACATATATCTATAAACATTTCACTAACCCCCGAACCCCGAAAGATATTTTTGTTGTCTTACATACCGAGTTCCGAGTTCCGAGACCCCCAAACCCCGAAACCCGGCAGTCCACAATTTCAGGGTTCGGGGGTTGGTAAAATGTGTATGGATATATGAAAGGTTGATTTAAACATTTTTGAAAGATGTCTCATATCAAATGTCAAGTCCCAAGTTTTGTATATCCATAGACATTTTACCAACCCCCAAACCCCGAAATTGTGGACTGCCGGGTCTCGGGGGTCGGGGGTCGGCACTCGGGACTTGGGAAATTTGGGGAGATCAATAAAATTTGATCTACAATAAATTTGATTTACAAACAAATTGATTTACAAACTTTTGAAAGATCTGTGTCGTCTCACATATTGAGTCCCGAGTTCCGGGACCCCCGAACCCCGAAACCCGAGACCTGGCAGTCCACAATTTCAGGGTTCGGGGGTTGGTAAAATGTCTATGGATATACAAAAGGTTGATTCAAACATGTTTGAAAGATGTCTTACCCGGAACACGGGACTCGATTTTTGAGATGAAAGACATCTTTCAAACATGTTTGAATCAACCTTTCGTATATCCATAAACATTTTACCAACCCCTGAACCCCGAAATTGTGGACTGCCGGGTCTCGGGTCTCAGGGGTCCCAGAACTCGGGACTCGATATGTAAGACGACACAGATATCTTTAAAAGTTTGTAAATCAATTTGTTTGTAAATCAAATTTATTGTAGATCAAATTTTATTGATCTCCCCAAATTTCCCAAGTCCCAAGTGCCGACCCCCGACCCCCGAGACCTGGCAGTCCACAATTTCGGGGTTCGGGAGTTGGTAAAATCTCAGGGTTCGGGGTTTGGCACTGTGAAAATTTGACATTTATATTTTTGCGAGTGTTGTGCTTCTGGTGTCTGTGTGTAGAAATAGGATATATTGCACACCAGGGTTCAGGTGTGGGGTTTTCCCACTTCAGTACTCAATTATTGGTCAATGCCACACATGGTCGATTCATGTTTTCGTGCTTACGGGTTTAGATTTCGGTGGTTGATGGTAGGTATATGCACTCATAGTGTGCATGTATCCTACGTGTTTGATTCGCTGGTGGCTACATCAGCTGTATGTCTTGATGAAACATATCTAGGCTCACCCATATATGTACCCATCTATGTACAATTCCCCCACGTCAGCCCACCCATCTATGTAATATCCCCCACGTCGGCCCACCCGTCTATGTAATACATCCTATGTTGGCCCACCCGTCTATATAATTATACCCCACCTCGGCCCACCTGTCTATGTAATCAATATTTTATCACACCCTCGGCCCACCCGTCTAATTAATATCCCTTATGTCGGCCCACCCATATATGTGATATTCCACCACCTCGGCCCACCTGTCTATGTAATAAATATTTTATTGCACCCTCGGCCCACCCGTATATGTAATACTCCCCACATCAGCCCACCCGTATATGTAATATGCCCCACGTCAGCCCACCCGTTTATGTAATATTCCCCTACCCTGGCCCACCCGTATATGTAATACACCCCTGTTGGCCCACCCATCTATATAACAATATTTGCCTTACATCTCTCTTCAGCCCAGCTGTCTATAATATCCTACTCTACATATTACCCAGATGGGCCCACCCATCTCCATGAATGATCATATTCCCCCGGCCCATCCATCAACATCAAGGATATATATATCATTGGCATACATGCGCCCACCCATCTCCATCGGAAATAATATGTTACCCAGCCCATCCGTCGTCATCGAGGATATACACAACATGGGCCCATGGTCCGCTGGCCCGTCTGATACGGGATATTATGTAGGTCGGGTGGCCCGTATAATACGGAATTTGTCACTGAAGGGGCTCTCAATCCTGTTACCTAGATGTACCAAATCAGCGATTAACTTCTCCCTCTTGTCGGACAGAGCTGTCCTTGTTGGGGGCTGGCTTGTGACATAGTCCAAATCCATTTGGGATGTCCCACTCTTGTCTAACCGAGTCGTCCACGCCGATGGCTGGCCTGTGACATTATTCAATGGCTCTTTGAGGTCCATCCGGAGGGGCTCTTCTGATACCTAGAACAGACACTGAGCCCAGCATGATTTTTGCTCGCCCGATGAATATTGACATACTATGCATTGTGGTGTGTCAAACTGGGTTCAACTCTCAGCATTTTCCATGTCATTGTCTTTGAACAAGTTGGTATCATTGGCTGTTTGTATGTTCTCCTGCTGAAGGTGAACCTGGTGCTGGTGCTGTGTTTCTGACATGCTGACATGTAATGGAAATTCATCAATGTTTGGATTTTCAGCTCAGCATGGATCTTAAGTACGTCTACCACTATTGTGTTTAGATCCAATTATTCTAACAACATTGTCCCATGGTTCCCACTTTTCGGTCACTACATGTTTCTGTTTCACCCTGACAATGACATTGCATTATCCTTTTTTGGGCCCTTTGGTGCTGATAGATAATTTTGGGTGCTGCACTTCAGTAGTAATTGTGTGCAAAATTCATGTTCAAGGACAAAAGAGCTCAACAAGCCTAGCATATGCAAGGTGTTTACAAAACTACTAGTATATTTATTGTTCTGGTCCCTACATTCTGCGAAACAAATAAAGACAATAGACTCAAATATGGTGATTGGTTTATCAATTATTCGTGATACTTGGCACAGGATACACTCAATTTAAAGGTAAATACTAAAACTACTATAAGATCGCTCACTCTCATTGCCCACTTTCATTGCCCACTTTCAAGCCATTCCTTGTCCTCAGCGCTGGTTGCCCAAATTCATCATCTAATTTCATTTGTTATTCCTTTGCAATGGTCAACACTCGCAATTATATCTTCCCCACATCATCCTTAAGCTATATTCTTGCTTCTCTTAATTTTTGCTGACAACTATATAAAGACTGCTGAACTTCACTTGCAGTGTAGGCTGTATTCTTCACCATGGGGTAAACCTTGCCAGGTCACTATGTTGACACAATGCTCTGATCACTTGCACAGTGGAAAGCGCTTCCCTGTTCCTGAGAGCCTCCTGGATTGTGCAACTGTCCAGCCTTACATGCACAACTATCTTGTCACCTTGCATGAAGGAAGACACATATATCAGTTTTGCGTTTTCTTCAAGCAACACTGCCATCTGAGAACCAATCCACTTCTCAGCAGCATTGACCACATATTTTGAGGTGATGCAGTCATTATGAGGATTGGTGCTAGTGCTGGCTCTGTTGTAAACATGCAAGGCAGGGACAATGTGCTCGCAGACTTCATTATGCATTGGTAAGTATCATCACTAGATGGTGATTCCAGTCCTTGTTGATTGAGAATCCATTAGTTTTATATGAAGCATTAGACATTATCCTCAAGCAAAGCTCCCATGTACCCTCACCGTCATGAAGCCCTTGAGCACCTGGGTAAATCACTGGCTGGCTTCCAGGATCATTAGCAGTGAAGTAGTTTGATGCGGAGCAATATATAATGAGTTGTATGTAATGTAATACACTATGAAGTTTGTCGTGATGGCACTGTTCTTGTCACAAGCATCATGAGGCCATATAGAAGTACACAAGAATAGAATGAGCTTAATTATCCTGTGAGACTTTGTCGGAAAGTGAGTGCCAATATTGAGAAGAACAAGGTATATTGGATGACCTCACGTTTGCTAGAGGTCAAGACCTTCAGCGCCACTCAGTAAGGAATTTTAGGCTTGTGTAAAGGTTGCACCTCTTTGGTATGGAGTTATTCTAGCTGGTTTGAAGATGAGTTACACAACGATGAATAATCCCTAGTAATTTAACAAGTAAAATGTGGTACACGCAGGTATAGTAAGATCAATCATTATATTACCCCCTCACTTTTGATGACTCTTGAGCTTGGACTTGCCCACAGCCATCCTTGCTTCCTTCTGCCTAGCATGACCTGACATATATTTCAAATGCATCATAATCATATCATTCAACGGCCAAAAGCCACTGTAGTTTTCTAAGTGTGGGAAAGCATTGACAGCCTGACAAATAATAAATTTGTGGAAACTGCCATCTGTAGTTTACTCACTTTGTTGCACACAACTTTCAGGAGCTCATGGTTTTGGGAAGAAGCACACTTGGTCATATCTAGATGTTCTTCAATGAGATGGTGCATAGTTTACTTGGGTTCATGAGCAAATAGTACATTGTGGTGGGAGCATGTTACTCACCTTGAACTTAGCATACACTTTTGGCACCTCACAAAGTGTGTATCCTCCATGGCCCAAACAGCCAGGTTCACCAGGGGGCTTTGGTATCTTCAAATCCTCCAATAGACTCTTAGTCAAGGTTGAGGAGCCACTGTCTGATGCTGAATCCAATGAACCTGAAGAATCTGAGGGCATGGGTATTTGAGAATTGGAATGTGAGGGACTGAACAAAATTTTCTTCAAATATGGTGAGGGCACCAATGTGTCCTTGAGTTGTGGGTGCTTAATATGCTGAGGAGGATTGACAGTACTAATTCTGGAAGGAAGAATCTTGTCGGCAACAAGTGTAGTTGAGTGGTGAGCACTACCAAACAATTCAAGCTGGTCTGTGAGCATAGGGGGGAAGGGAGGTGGAGCGTCAGGCTCTTGATCATAAAAAGGAGAGACAGTGTTAGTTTTGTTGGGCATGATGATTCCAGCGATGTGAGTGGGGCGATGAGGGCGGGTCAAGATATATATTGGGTATGAACTGTAATAACCTTTGAGATTTATGACCAAAGGACATCACTCACGTAATGTACTATGTAGGGATTAAACAATAAGACAGTCAACAAAAGACGTGGCTTAGGAGGATCAAATAAACAAGATAATAGAAATGTTATGTGAAGGTGTAAGTGATATGCGCTCATAAAAAGATGACCACAAAAGTTGTGAAGTAAGTGATGTACACTCACAAAAAGATGAATACAAAAGTCGAGAACTAACAAGTGGCCAGGATCACCATGGAATCAACAAAAGTTCCCAATATAAGTAGACTGTGAGCAGGTGAACTGGCAACTACAACTGATCAAATTGTGCACGCAACAATGTCTTTTCTTGCCTCGTCACTCTTCATAAAAGCAAAGGGACACTTCTGACATCGAACACGCCTTTCTACCTATGGCGGGTCCATTCATGCCCTTGCAATATCTAACAATGGTCAAGCTCTTGCATGCGGCAGTAACTTAACAGGCACTTTGTTATGAGAGGGTGCTAACAGACAAGCAGGGACTGAGGGCATCAAACTCTGCGATATCAAATCTCGGAAAGAACTTACATGCTTGACTCATCACTATGAGTCATGAGGCACAGTCAGCTGCGCTGTCTGGGTCACAACAAGAGTAGGCATGGCAGAAACCCTTTGTTATGGAACTGGGCTGGGCTACATCAGATTTTTACGGTGTAGCCATGTAGATGTGAGAGTGTCCTGGTCTTGTCATCAAAACTTCAGCTAACGTCCAACAGATGCAGTTTCAGGAGATCTGTGCTAGGAGGCTTGTGTCAGGCTTCAAAATTACTTGCATGGTATGGGATTCGACATCCTCTGGAGCGAATACGCAGATTGCAGTGGGAACGAGGGACAAAATAGTTCAAGTCCTCATTCTCAACACAAATTCACAACTGCAGTCTATATTTTCGGTGCGACTCGACAACATAGTGCCAAAGTCTGTAGCATTTGCAGACAATGGGTCTGTTTATGTCTTCGGACTATATGACGGGAACTTCATCAAGCTGAAGGGTAATGACGGTGCTGTGGTAAAGAAATACAGTTGCCAGTCAGTTATGTAAGAGTCCATAATACATCATCGGCAGATGTTACTGACCTTCTTTCAGTGGACATGCAGCCGTCAACCAGAAGAAAGGTGTGTTCATAGTAGACAATGCCACCAATGGTTTTACTTTGTATCGACTTGAAGGTGATGAGGAACCAGTTCAAACATCCGTGACCACTGCTCTGAGTGTGTCCGTCCCAAAGCAGGTGACATTCAGTGCAGAAGAAAGATTGATCGTTGGGGGGAGCGACCATGGATCAGTGTATGTATTCAAGAGGAAAACAGGGAAGTTATTCAATACTCTTCACCACTCCAATACAGGTTTGGTGCAGACAATAGCAGTAGGTGTCAGATTCAAAGAGTACTATGGGTACTGATTGTCTCCCAAGACGTGTGATCTTAACGGGCACTGCACAGTCACCAGTGCTAGGTCGTGGCAAGGCTAAAATCAACTTATGGGTCTATAACTATGGCGCAGTAAAGGGACCTCTCACCTCTGAAGATTCACACCCTATGTCGTGTGTGGTTATGGGCACGTTCAAAACTCTGGTTCATTTTGGGGCCTTGGTAGTTATTATCTGTTTTTTGATAACAAACTATTTTGTAAGTCAAGCGGTAGCTCAATAGCAGTCAACCAATTCATACCTTCACAGGATGCAGTGGCAACATGGTCAGGAGACCTCGCCCAACACATGACAACTTGAGCATCCACCTTTTTGGATAAAAAACTCCAAAGTGCTAAGGCATTCAATGAAGTACCAGAATCCCACCAAGAAGTGGGCCAACAGAGTAACATATTGATGCTACATAAACTGGCAGGCAAACTCATTGAAGTCATTCGGGAAGCAAAGAAGGATGAAGACATAGGTGATGATATTCATGATATGATATGACACAATGAGATTTCCGCATAAGGCAAAAGGGTGTTTTTTGAGGCAGTGAAGGAGAAACTGATATTAGAAGAGCTTGGCTATGATACGATGATTCAGGGAAAATGCCCTTCTCTTATGTCGTTGTAGCATGTTAATGATGTCTTGTGTTTGTTGTGTAAATGTCATATCCCATATTCCAGACCTATATCCGACAATGTTCCCACGCCTCATCCGGACATCCGGACCCCCTGTCCATGTCCTTTATCTGTCCAGATCCCCATACCTTTGCATATCCACACATCCGGATCCGAAACCTGGACACCCAATCTAATATCCACTTGTCAGGATCTCCGGATCTGACCTATGTTTGATATCCAAAGCCAAACCTTAAATCAGTGCCCATCCCCTTATGGTAATCACCTGTCTCCGGTCTTCAGTTATCTCTGTTTCCGGTTTGCTTATTGATCCTTGTATGAGTTTCATCTCCGAGTTCATTTCCTTATGTTCTGTTTCACTTACTAATACATTTCCACATGCTCATACATAGCCTTACTGATCTGCACACACTTGCCTCCAGTATATAAACTCTTGTAGAAACTCCTGTATTTCCTTAGTCTGAATATTACACATATTAGTCCTTGCACTAGATCTCACACTAAGTCCTCATACTAGTTCTAGTCCTTCGACTTAGTCAATATCCATCTCAGGCCTAGGGAGGAATTCCCTAGGCTGGAGCTCCACTCCTCTGCTCCTCCAATCCTAAATTCCTCCAGAACTTTCCTGTGGTCCTCTGGACCTATTCTGCTTCGGACTTTGTCCCTGCAGCCTTTCCTCTGTTTGTTTCTACTCAGGACTTGTCCTGAGTAGCCATTACACATATCTGTATCAGGACAAAACCTCATTGTAATTTCTGGAAGTTCCTCCGGAACTTTCCTGCACTCATCTGGAAGTTACTTGCACTCATCCGGAAAGTCTTTCCGAACTTTCCCGCGCTCCTTCGGAAGTCCTTCGGACTTCCTTGGACTTTCTCCAGACATCATCTGAAATTATGGGCACGTACTCAGGTAAGGGGTGCAGTGCACCAGCTGAAGCCAAGCCCCTTAGAATCAGTCCTACCCTTTGTGCATGGTCTTAACAGTAAACCCCTCCATGTGTAATGTGGAGGGATGACCAAAGGTTGAAAAGAATCGCCTGATGGGTGAAATATGGTATGGGGTGGGCGACAACATTTGCGAAAGAATCACCTGATGGGTGAAATGTGGTATGGGGTGGGCAACAACATCTGCAAAAAGAATCACCTGATGGGTGAAATATCATGGGATGGGCAACACATAACCTGCAAGATAATGGGATGAGTGGAAGGATGAGCAAAGGCCAGAAAGAACTACCTGACGGGTGACATGGGCCTGAATCCCTATTCGCCAACTGGGCAGTATGGGGCTTTGCGATTAACCAGAGGAGTGGGCAATCAAAGAAATGTGCAACAGTACAAACTGTTGCATGCGACAGGTTGAGCACAGAATCAAGGGTGACACGACAAACAACAGTACAGACCATTGCCTGCAACAGACCAAGAACAGGATTAAGAGAAAATACAACAGTACAGACCATTGCACGCAGCTTCAACAATAGCACAAGACTTGAAGTTGGATCAAGTCCGTTGTGTTTGCTTTGCATGTGACTTTATTTGTGGGTGTTTGTACCTCCCAATGAATTGTTTCTTTTGCTTATTCTATTCTTGCACATTCTTGCATACTGTTAAGAACGTGCTCAAAGGTTTGGATCCGAAGGGCTCGGCTTCAGCTCGTACGCTGCGCCCCTTACCCAAGTACGTGCCCTTAACTTCCGAAGGCTATAGGATGATGTCCGATGCACGGGAATTCCAGCGGACGTTCGGAAACCAGATAGAAGACTAATCCGGACGAAGTCCGAACTAGAAAGAAACAGCGGAAAGACTACCGAAGGTAGAGGCGAGGATGTTTAAGTCAATAGGAATCAATCCTAAGACTATCGGAAGACGACGAGAGGAGAAACTCAAGTCGGACGGAGGCAGGAATGAGCAGAATCTAATATGATATTCGAACTGAGGATGTACAGAGGTTTTACAGGGTTTATATACTACGGAAACATAACGGAAGGTCAGTCAGCGCGGTGCAAGGCTATGTACGAAGCATGTGGAAAGCTTATCAATAGTATAACGGAACATAATAAAATGCAGTCGGAAATGAAACAAGGTCTGGATGAACCAGTACAGTCGGAAGTAAATGACTGGTAGACCAGTAGTAAGAACTAACCAAAACGGGACGTACAAAAGGAGAAGGAAACAGAAGTAAGAAGTGGGTCGGATCCGGACATCCGGACATGAGTGCGTGATCGGTCTGGGTGTCACGAGTTCCAAATACGAACCATTATACTTTTCTAAATTCAAAGTCCTTTAAGCGCACAAGTATAGCGCCCATACCTAAGAATGAACCTAAGAACATATTTATAGTTGAGGAAGCGCCTACGGTGTCTATTGTAGAAATACCAAATATCCCCATATCTGAGTCACGTGACTTATCAGAAGATGACATCATGCCACGCGACAATCTTGGAATGTTCCAGAGTCTTACTGCGGCTGCGACACATGTTATGACATCATAGTTATATATAGAATCGTATGATACTCTTATTTATTCTCATTGGTTAGTTAGTCCATACTCAGTTTCGATCTCTGTCTCAATACATGTATATAGGTAGTGTCTTGTAGTCAGTAATTCTTTAGTTCAAACTTCTTGTATCTCCAAGTGAGCAATCCAAGACATACCTGCTGCCTATCCTTTGTTGTGATCTTTCTTTGTTTGAGTCCTAGTCTCTGCCCTGCGTTAATTCGTTTAAGGGGTTGTGACAACTCAGAAATTGATCATCCAGATGGTTCTGATGTCCTATTACTCCCCCCCCAAGCACAACCTATGTCAGTGCATCAAGGTGAAGATCGTTCAGACGGTATGTTACACAAGTGCTACTGTATTATAAAATGTTAATTCTGTGCCATTAGAGTTTTTGCCTGAGGGCAGCGATTACAATGATGCTGAACAGGGTGAGAGTAATGATAATGCTGACAAGTTGCCTGTGGCTTTGTATACACAAGAAGACAAGGATCACATCTCACCTGCACCTCCTGCTCGAAGGGCCAAGGGTAAGGAGAGGGAGATGCCTTCATGTGCAGATGATGAGGACCTGGATGATGGTCAGCATCAGGTCGACCTTGATGAAAATCCTGGTGATCCCCTTATGTCTGGCCAACACCCACAAGAAGCCATCGATAAGGCCATCACCTTGGGTGAAAAAATAGTTGCAGAGGCGGAGAAGATTGCCAAGGAGTATGGCAAATCAGCATGCATGATCTTGATTTAAGCCAGGTTGGCGGTAAAAGCTACTTGAGCTGACAATAGTTGGAACTTGTATCAAGCATGGTACAAGATGCTTCTAACAGTGAGTAGTGTGTAGTACCCATCAAATATCTTCCTTATGCAATTTTGTCAAGTATCTACAAATAACTGGAAGCAGACACAACGTGACCACTGGCTCAAACATTGTAACCAGAGTGAAAACCCTGAATTGTGGAAGGAGATACACAAGTTCTGGGAAGGGACCTCAAGGAACACAGATCAGTCTTCAAAAGCATTATACAGCTGTATCATGGCTGTACGTGATGCCTTTGCCCTCAGTGTAAGTCTATCATTGATGTATTTGTATGGTGCCTCATGTCATTTTGTAGTGCCAAGTTTATTTGCGCCTTGAGGATATTTATGTGGGGGGGATTCATATTATACACAGGTACTGAGGAAGCGGGTTGATGAGCTGCAGGGGTGTTCGCTGGGTCACTGCTTATCCTAGACCTTGTCAATAAGAAGCAAGCAGACATAAGGAACTTATTGATTACTTGACGACTGTCATCAAGTAATTGTCTTTGCCTTCTACATCTGCTGCTATATTAATGTGTATTCTAGGTACAATCACATTAATGATACAGCTTCTTTGTTATCCTTTACTTATACTCTGGGTCCGAAATTCAATACTGAGCTCTTGTGTGAGCATGGGGAGGGAACTTGTGACCATAATCGCTGTGTAGCTCCCATTATGATGCTAGAAAAGTTTGGTAAGTCATGTGATCACTATATCTGTTATTGTCTTGATGTTAGCTATAGAAGGGGTTGGCATTCTGCATGAGGTAAAAAATAGGGCGCTCAATACAATGTGGAGCTTGCTTGCATTGAACATCTGGAACTGAAGAAGAAAATAAAAGTTAAGTTAAGTGGGGTGAAGATTTGTCAGAAAGAGTTGATGTTTGTACCTTGGTTGGATGGTAAGATTGAGATTACCTGTATCATGGGACCACTCATACTAACATCAGTAGACAGATAAAGGGCCATGCTATGCAGTATGTATTCTTCTTGCCACATAAACACTCTACTCATTACCTTGACAAGCCATCATAATCTCCATGACCATCATCAGCAACATCAGTCAGAGCACCATCCCACTCATCTGCCTTGTCATTGTAGTCCATCACTGCCTATCCACTTGTCTCATCAGTATGCTTACTGTCGGTCCAGATCTCCCATTTGATGACAATATGCATATACCCAAGAGCCTGCCCCAACTGCTGGTCCATCCCAGCTTGCTAGCTTGGCCTGGGTATCTCCAGCAGAAGAGAAAGAGGAGCATGAGCATGAGCATGAGAACAAGGATGAGGATGAAGGTGGTGCCTATGATTGCAATTACTATGATGATTATTGATCAACTTTGTTAACAATTGTGTTATATAATATATGTAGGTCGGGAATTCCCAGCTTAAGAATATATGCAGTCTGGGAATTCCTAGCCTAACAATATATGTGGTTTGGGAATTCCCAGCTGAGAATATTTGTTGGTCAGGAATTCCTAACATACACTATATGTGATCTGGGAATTCCCAACCTGCTATATATGTGATTGGGGAATTCCCTTTGTGGATTTAGTAGAGCAGCTCACAATATATATCATCACACTAGTCCAATTAACTTAGTTCTCATCTCCCAAGCTAGTAGGCTAAGTCACTATAGCATGCTTTGTCCTCGTCTCCCAAACTACTAGCAGGCCAAGTCTTTATCATGCGTATTAGTTCAAACAACCCCACCCTCTGAGTCTCCCTAGTAACTAGCAGGCCAAGTCATTATATCTAAATTGTATTTAGTCCAAACATTGACAACTACCTGATATCTCCCCTGGAAGAAAATGATGTGCATGAGTGTGGTCTTGTTACTAATGCTTCTCTGGATCTCCCTTATCATTATGGTTGCCTTCCAGAGGGCAAATGCCTTGTATGTTTCTTTCCACTGGATTTTATATTGTTGATTTAACTCATCTAATAGTACAAGTCATCCCTGTGAACACCCTTGGGCTATGTACGGACAGCATAATATAATATTCAATATTCAACATTCGCTGTCATGTGACAATATCGCGTTCATCCGGATGATCCCGGATCTTTGACAGGCCATCGTCTATACCATCATCAATGCTCACAAAGGGCTCTACAGATGGATGATCTCCGTCGCTGTCGTTATCTTTTGCTTATCACTTGCCTCATTGCTCATATATACTACCAACTCTTCCTAACTCCACGCACCAGTGTCCCATACCATACGTCTGCCTTGACAGGTCATACATGGGTTCTCGAGCTCCTCACAGGCCACCCAGACAGAATCAGACACAATCTAGGGGTCAACCTGGAAGTGTATGAAGAACTACTCCAAGTTCTACAGACTAACGGATATGTTCAATCTCGCAATGGCGTCACAGTTGAGGAACAACTGGCCATTTTTATATATATGTGTGTGATGTTTAACTTAGTGTATAAGTTGCACAGGATGCCAACACGTATAGTCAGCGACCGGGACTCCCTGTTCACCAGCATCTTCTGGCAACGGCTTCACAAGCTCACCAGGACTGAACTCTGAATGTCGACATCGTTTCACCCCCAAATGGATGGCATCACTGAGCGCGCAAACTGTATCATCACACAGATGCTCCAACAATGTGTTTCACCGATGCAACGGGACTGGGCCATCAAGCTGCCATCAATTGAATTCGCAATCAACTCTGCGAGCTCCACTACGAGGCTCTCCCCCCCCTTCAAACTCATCTATGGTCCCTAAAGGATGCGTGAGGAAACTTGCCCCCAAGTTCATCGGCCCGTTCAAGATCCTGAACGACTCGTTCTTGTTGGACCTCCCTGCGGACCTTAAGCAATGTGGCTTGCACCCTGCATTCCACACTCATCTCCTCAGACCCCATATACCTAACGACAACCGGCGGTTCCCTGGCTGGCAGCTAGCTCAAATTAGCGATATCGGGAGCCTTGAGGAATGGTCTGTTACTAAAGTAATGGATCACCACGGACAGGGTACTGACTCTATCTTTGAGATAGAATATTCCACTGGAGACCATGTATGGCTTCCGTACCATGAAGTCTCCCATTTGGAGGCTGTCAGCCAATACCTCGAGGGTCTAGGGGTGCCTGGCATCAAGCACTTGCCGAAGAAAATTTCAGGCACCTCCCATGAAGTTAGCATTGCTACCGTGGATAATTTCGCGGACGCTCGACATGTTACCTTTGGACTCGTCGACTGATTACTCAAGGAACTCCCCCAACAACTCGGGTCTAGTCCTAGCGAGGGATACTTAAACTCCCTGCACGTCGAACCTCCTTCATCCAGACTCCCTGCAGTTCAGGTAGCTAAACCTATCTCGCCCAGACTCCCCACAGTCCAGGCAGTTGAAGAACTTGCCTCATCCAGACTCCCTGCAGTCTCCCCAGATGTAACCCCCTTCCTTGCACATCAGATGGTGTCAACGCTCCCAGAGGACACTTTGTCCATCGATGCGGAGGGCATAGAGATCGGGGTCAGTTCCCTCCACCGGACCACCCCAACTCTGATGCCCTCAATGCGTTCACGTGTTTCTTCATGGCTGAGGCTCAAGCCAAGGAGCTGGCTACCAGGAAGGAGGCTCATGCATTCGAACAACGCCTCCGTTCTGAGCGTGACCGTGACCGGGACTACCGTCACCATCCTCATGGTTGTGATCACGAATGCGAGCATCATCGTCAGTGTGAGGCTGTCCACTTCGCTGGCCATTGCGCGCCCCCATCCTGTCATTGGATGTTAGACAACCGACCTGCTCATCATCCCGAACCTGCAAGGGTGCAACCTCGCGAGGTTCCCCAATCCCCCTCCATGTCCATCACCCCTCCTCCTCCTTCCTTACCTTCGCCCTCTACCCCCGCTGAACCAGAGGGTGATATTGGCATGGAAATTGACTCGCTCATTGCTGAGTCCAAGCAGATGGACCTGGAGGCAGAGGCTCGTCATCACGGGTTCATGGCCGAAGAGCTCTTTGGTAGTGTCATCCTTCTAGGACTATTAACTGTTGTTAACATTACTCTCATCGTCCTCCTAGCAGCTATGGGTACCATGAATATTGAAGCCACACATGCGCCTCAGGCTTAATAGTCCCCTACCGCAGATTACCAGATGGTCCTCTTTAGAGGACCTGGAGGGCGTATGTAGCATTCCTAAAAGCCTTCATCGTTACAAGGCAACATTTCTCCATAGTTTCTCTCATTTTCTTTAGTGTTCCTTACTCTACAGTATATAAGGCTCTCTTTATCTACTGGTAGAGTAGTTGATCTTACCCCCCCAAATAACATTTAGTTTGGACAGTTTTCTCATCTGAAATAAGTCTATTCAACTATCGACTCTATAGTGTGAACATATTTGTATACACCACAAAAAGAGTACATACACATAGAGTAACAAGTGTCCACCATAGGGCCCTGCCCCACAGGACAATAAACGAGGATCCAAAAAAAAAGACGAAGGTGCACTGGAGCAGAGGATGGTTTTCATTCATATTAGTGTGTAGTTCTACAACCTCATATTGCTGTCATTTGATACATGTTCACAAGTTGTTGATCGGCGATCCTCTTTCTTACTGTTGTAATTTTTTTTTGCACTCTAGCTATAACCTATCTCATTTTCATATGCTCTGTTCTATCGTTGTCCACTAGAATGTCCACCAAAGTTCTACAGAAAGGCAGATGACATACTTGAATAACCATACAGGCAAAGAACAGGTAATAATGTTGACAAATCATGAGGCAGGTAAGCCAGCAGTTACCTCACTGGTGAGGACAATGGCGGGCAGAGCAAGAAGGCAATGACTACATTTGTCCTAATTGTGTGGGACTCTGGGTGGTTTCCAGCATCAATGCGCCAGGAGGGAACTTGTAGTTTTTTCCACTTGATCCTGGACTAATATTACTTATTTTTTAATGTCATACTGCTAATCCTTTATATACCATAAGCTCTGCAACCAACTGTCTCTGTTTTGCATCTCCTCCATCTGTGTTGTTATCAATAGGTTTATGTGCCTCACTTATATCCTCATTCTCCTCTGCACCTGTATGTGCCGCAGAAAATATACTACCTGCTCTTGCTCTGTCAACATCAATAACCAAATTATGAATAATGATGGCAATTGTAATCCATCAACAAGCCTTGATATGATCTCTATTGCAGTTGATAGTGACTCAAAGGCCACACAGGCACTGGAATGTCCTTTGTTTCTGGATGAAGTGACACAGGCTATTTATGGATAGGAATAGTGTAGTGGTAGTCCATGATGTAAAGATTAGAGGAAGTATTGCCAATCTGTTTTGTACTTGCTTGGGATTATACAGAAGGGACACTGAAACACTCAGTGTGACTCTAAGGGAGATCTCCATCAGATTATGCATCATCTTACTGGAGAATCACTTACCAGTTATGGTCTAAGATCAGCTTTGTCCACAGGATATAATAACATGAGGTGCAAGGTGAACCTTACGTAGAGATGTTGCTGTGGGAAGGAATAAGTGGCAGATTGGGGTTTGGAGGTTGTAGATGAGAAGTAGATGAAGTCTAAGGCTATGTATGGACAGTGTAATATAATATTCGATATTCAACATTCGCTGTCATGTGACAATATCACATTCATCCGGATGATCCCAGATTCCTCATCTACTAGTTCCTATCATGATCATCAGCCTCAATGGGGGACACAGGGGGGAAATATATGGGTAAATCTACTCGAAAGGTTATTACGTTGCATCATCCCACTCGAAAAGTTATTGCATCGAATCATACCACCACTATGTCTATCAGCATGGCTCTGTATCATCTACTCGTTCCCTCAGATCACAGGGACCTATCCACAACAAAGATACACTATCAAGATCAGATAGAACTCGTAAAGCTCCTGTGCATTGGACACACGATGAAGAAGCAAGATTCCTCCAGTACCTCCTCACACATAAGGCCCAGGCTGGGGACACCATGAGCTTCAAAAAGTCGACCTTTCGAGGAGCTGCTGACGATATTGGTCAAGTGTTTCCTAATCAGCGTGGAGGGGAAAAGACTGCAAATGTCTGCAAGACAAAGTGGACCAACATAAGCACAATCACCATCATCCATTGCCAGCCGCAGCTTACTGTAACTATGTCTTGATAGCTAAAGGCTTCTTACAACACCATTATCAACATCAAGAAAACATTAGGCTTTTCATGGAGTAATGAGCTTGGAGCAGGAATTATGGACGCACATGGGGACATTTAGGAGAAATATGTCAAGGTAAGTCAGCGCACCCATTTTTAACTAAACTGTCATTAAATTACCTGCAATACTACAACAGTCCCACTGTGAAACCATTCAAGACTAAGGGATTCTCGCACTTCGACACAATCAACCAGATCATGCCCCATGGGCCAAGCACTGCAAAAGGGATGCCCCCTCCACTGTATCTCCAACTCCCGCTGCAAATAATACCATGAATTTAATGCAGCTCACATCTGCTACTGATGAGATCAACATACATCAAGCATCTCCACTGGCCCAGGCATCCATGAAGCCTCCATCCTTGGGCTCACACTCCCAGCCACCTGCCAGTGGGCAGATTGTATCATCCACTTTTTCCTCTACTATGGGCAACTCGGGGCTGACAAGTGTCAGCCGGGCTAAGCGCAAATTTAGCGCACTGCCAAATGAAGGAGAATGGCAATCACAGAAGCAGTCCTACAGTCTGTAATTCAATGAGTATGATACTGCCTAGTCTTACATTGGTGCCGGTACTGCAAGTCCAAGCTGAGGTCGTTCTTCTAAGTAATCTGCCCACATGGCAGCCGCAAAGCACACAGGGCCAATGGTAAGCGTGCCTGGATATCCATGCCATACTCTGGAGGGAGTTATAAGATGCACCATTGGCATTTGACCACCCCAAATATGTGTTCGATTACGTTGCGCAGTGAAGCATGGTGAAGGTTGAAAAGTTCTTTAGCATTCTGTGGGCTTGAATACATGTCAAATGCAAGATAACAAATGAAAGAAAAAACTGATGTGAGAGATGCCTGACACCATTCTTTGAGGTGGTAGCGCACACCCCAATATGGAACCAATAATGAGTCACAGGTGCATCTGCAAGCAGGTATCTTCCTCCTGGTATCCGCTGGTCATGTTGGCGTGCATCATTCCAAAGCGCTGCATCAACAGATGAGCCATCACAGCCACAAAGTGAATAAATGAACAAAGAATCAAAATCACATATAAAAAGGCAATTCTGAGAAATATAACCCTTCCGGTTACGCATAAAGGCCTGATCAGCGAGTGTTGTAAATGCGCAGATGTGTGTACCATCGACTGTGCCAATACATTTGTCAAAAAAATGAAAGCGGGGGTCATTTTGTATCGACAAAGGGATGGGGGAATTAGTCGTCAGAAATTTAACTTGGGAGGAGTAGAAAGGGTCGTTTGAGAAGAACATCAGCATGTGCTTGAAGTATCTACATATATAATAAAAATTAGTATATACTAATGGGCTCAGAGTTTTGGAGAGGAAGACTTTACCTTGAGATTGTATTAGAAGAGCGTTGGAAATGCTCACTGATATGGCGGGTTGAGAGACCAGTCACCTCTGCGATGTCATGGGCCCGATATGTTTGCTTTGTTGGTGCGAAATCATGTCAAATACGCCATTCAATGTATGCGATTCAGGGAGAGGGCCAACAAAATCAATCCCAACCATTTCCCAAGGACGTGTTGGGACTTCGAGAGGCTCGAGAAGGCCGTATGGACGTCATTGGCCTGGACCATGTCATTCTTCCTTCCCATCAGGTTCTGAGTGTTCTCATCGGGAGTATCCGGCAATGCCTCCGAGATTGCCTGGTTCTTTGGGTCCACCTGGGCAATGACATCTAAAGTCATGTGACTTTGTGGGCATTTGTTTGTTTTAGAATCTGTCTGCTTCTTCTTCTTCTGTCTGTCGTCATTCACTAACCCACCCTCCAGTGACTCTGCTGGGGCCGGGCCCAGTTTCAGAGTTACTTTCCTGATCTTAGGTGCAGGTGCGTCCTCAAATTGATTGGTTAACTGATGGCTCCTTTGACAGTGTCACTGCCAGGCACAGCAGCCATGTCTGGCGCTACCACCACTTCTGACTGCACGGTCTCTTTGCCACCACACCGGCCATTGTTTATGCTGTTCTCACTTATGTGTTGTCAAGCAATGCGTGCGGACCATTGCACCAAGGAACAAAGGAGTTCTGGTGTACACTGGCGCCATGACAAAGTGTAAGAGTAACAAATTAGGTATGTCATCCTCTTCCACACTAACATATTCACTCACTGACCTTACAGTACCCTTAGGTTCATTGCTATACATTCTCGACAGCGCATCGGCCAGTACGTTGTCCGCTCCAGGAAGGTATGTGATTTCAAAATTGAACTCACTAAGCGCTCCTAACCAGCGTGTCTGTCTAGGCAAGAGCTTGGACTGGGTGGATATCAGGGTGCCAGTTATGGCCCTGGGAAGGTCGATGGCTTTCTGTCGAACGTTACAGTGAGTCTCAACGCAAGCTTTCACGAGATCGAACACTCGCTGATCAGTTGGATTCCAGGACCATTTAGTGGTATGCGCAGCCACTTTGGATAGGTGCTGCATATCCACCCACACCCCTTCGCATCCTGCGGCCAGGTATCCAACAGAACCGATAAACTGCATCAAGAGTTCTTTAGAGGTGGGTGTTTTCCAGTTAACGACTTTGTCAACCTTATGTGGGTCTAATCGGATTCCAGCGTTGTTGATGATGTGACTAATATGCAGAGCTCTTTCTTGAAGAGTTGCATTAAGGTAAAACTGGTGCTTGTGCAAAGTGTCTATAACAATCTTAACATGTTTGACATGATCTTCCGCAGTGTCAGAATATATCATGATATTGTCAAGATATGTGTCCAGAATGGTTTCAATATCGGGCAATGGAGACGTGAGTTTCTGAGTGTTCTTATTTTGCTGACGAGTGTCTAACATGGTGCGTAACTTTAGTGACCCATCCTTTGTAGTTTTCTTCATCATGATCATGTTAAGATGGGAGTGAAGTGGGCCGCTTCTAGAGGCTACTGAGAGACCAGAAGAGATCAGACTAGAGTCCAGAGTAAGTTGCCTATCTATTGAATGCTATAGTGAAGTTGTACAGTACCTAGAGTCCAGAGTAAGTTGCCAAAGAGGCAGTAAGCACTGGACTCTGGGATATGGGCGACGTATGGTAAACAAATGTAAACAGACAAGCCACAATCAAAGGGTAAGTAATAACTCGACCTAGGGACGTCCTAGGGAGATCAGGAAGTCATGGAAATAGGTAGCAAAGTGTAAGGAATGATACCATAAATGAAATGGCAAGGTTAGATACATAAAAGACATAGAAATGTGTACTGTAGAGGTGAATAATCATATAACTAACAGAAGCTCCTTGTATTCTGGACTTGTTTTGAAGGAGTTTAACTGTGCTGCTCAGCTGCACAGAATACCCGTAGAGGTGTTGAGCAGACGAAGGGGGGCATTGCTGAGTTTAATTCAAACTGCTCTTCGAATAGTGTCTTCTGCTTCCAATGGACAGACATAGTGTTGACGCAGATCTGCAGAACAAGATGGGCATTTCGAGATGAGGTAGTAATGTTCCATGGCTTACCTCCCGTCTTGGGTCTGATTCTATACTTCAAATATAGTTTAGCGGCTGTATGTCTCCCATTCTCAGTGGTTACATATGTAGGTTACAGTTGTTGTTATTAAGCGTCAGAACCCAAACCACTTCGGGATTCTCCGGCAGACTTGCATCACTCACTACATAAGTTTCGAAACCTTATTTTGTTGTTACAGTGAAGTAGAATGTTATTTAGATTTAAGTTGATGTGTGATATTTTATCTATCTATTTTACTTGAGAAGAGTGGAATGAACTGATATACTGATCCACACAGTGTATTTTTCCACATTGTTGGAGCCAAGTACTGGGTATGTTAATTGTCCAAGCTGTCCACTCACTCCTGACTGACTGTGGGAACAAAGTGGAATTGACTACAAATAGGCCCCGTCACAGAGAATGACTTTCTGTCTCCTTTCCTACCATCTTGAAGATGGTGAAGACGTTCGTCTCTACCGAAGCAGAAGTCAACATGGGGTCAGAAGAGGAAATAGACTATTTTGATGAAGGTGAGTCCTTGCATGGTGTAATAACCTGTGTGTCATTTTTACCTGTACAGATGACAAGGCCTTTGTAGTGTCTGACGAGGCTTGTGACAATGATCTCGATCGGACTTCTGGCAATCATTGGGCATCGGCATCGTCGGACCCTCTGAAAGATGTGGCAGCATGGCGCATCCTGAAGGAATTCCTCGATACTGATATGAGTTTTGGCGAAATGCAGGTGAGACTTGTGGCGCACCTGGGTTCGTGATATCATGAAGAGGACTGGGCAAAGCAAAGAATTTATTGTTATCAGGCGAGACCGACAACAACTTGTCCTGGTCTAATGTTTGCAAGGTAATTGAATGTCATATGATGCTACCAGCAGAATTCGGAGGACGTTCGAGTTAATTGAACCTTCAGCCTGGATGGGCTTGGCAAGACACGGTGGATAGCCTCTATGACAGATGCATTACCAATGACACCACGTCGTCATGAGTCCTTGCACTGACACCATCATCAACATCGCCATCAATTCCCTCGACAAGCGAGCTTGCACATCGCATCATCATGCAGTTTATTCGTGACGAGATTGGCTCTTTCCATGCATATGACCTTCTGGAGGTTGAATTCTCAGATGATCCAACGTCATCGGCTCACTGGGAATCTGTTTTGGACGCCATCGTGGAGGCTGAGACTCCTGAGGAAAAACAACAGGTCTTTACCAAGCTAACATCGACACCATCAGCAGCCTCAGATCTGCCTCCTCAAAGAGTTGGAGCCGTTGAAGAGCTGACATCAATTAAGCAAGATGTCGTAACGTCAACGCCTGACCTCCCCACATGGGTTGTAATGGTACCCCGTAAGTTAGTATCTCCGATAAATGTGTTGTGTCTCACTGCGAATTTCATGTCTTTCTTAGCCATGGAAGATTTCAAGGTCTACACACATTCTACCCTTCCAGGCCGTCTGTGTGTCAAGGTGGAGAACACCTATGTTATCAGGAACGCTTGGCCTTCCTCCCATGTCAACTGCTTTTTCGACATTGTCTTTCTCCCTCTGGAAGATCAGTCCTCCGTCAAACATAGCATGTCAATCCCTGGCTGGTATCACCCCATACGTGGGCCGTATAGATTTGACGTGGGCCTCGCACACTCTTATAGCAAGCAAGCTGATGCTCTCAGAGTGTTATTTCCGTTTAGAGCCCACGCAGAACGAGGTATTGGGAAGGACCCCCACGTGCCATGCCTTCACAATTCTCCCAATAGTGTTTTAACCTCTGCGGGTCGAGGGAAGACCTACATGCATGGCCTTCTGGCGCTTGACCTGCGCAGAACCGCAGTTGTGGAGATCCCACTTCCCATCCCAGAGAGCATTAGACTCCATAAGGAGTCAGGATGCAACCCCGCATTTGTGCAATGTACATTGCATGCACATGCTGCCCAACACTGGATAGAAGGTGATTTAGTGAGAGTTAGAGCGGGGGAAACAGTCGGATGCACAGCTAAGATTGACTGTGTTGACATGAGCACCTATTCAGTATCAGTGCACATGCAGGAATCAGTGCATGTGGAGAATCTTCCTCTTCAACCTCTAATGTTCTCCCTATCTGATCTGGAGAGGAAATTCCGCGTGGGGGATAACTATAGTAGCACCACAACTCAAGGGGAAAACGGGAATGGTTGTCCAAGTTGACGACAACACTGTTGTTGTACTTGACCAGTCTTCTGAATCAGAAGTAAGTTGTCCGATGAAAGGGGACCAGGTTGTTGTAACTGAGGGCATTTATGCCTGTGAATTCGGAGAAATCAATGAGGTTGATCCCATGATGCAGACAGTTGCATTCTTCTCGTTTTCACAACAGAAGACCATAACGGTGTCGATAAGCTCAACAGCTTTCACCCCTAATCCCGCCCGCCACCCTTCAATATACTCATGAGCATGGATACAATGTTGTAGCCAGTGATGTTGTTCAAGTGGTCAGAGGTGCTCTCTGCATCGGGCACGGTACTGCAGGTTGATTTGGGTGAGAAAACATTGACATTCAAAGACACGCTCCACACCGAGGTTAGTCTCTGTCAATCTCATTCATGCATGCAGTTCAATGTTATGATTATAGTTCTGCCTATATTGCTTATGTTGCGAGAATCGGCGGGTGCGGGGATCATGAGCTGATGCAGCACCTTGTTGGTAAGGAGGTCTTTATAATACAAGGTGCTATGAAATCCTACTGAGGTACCTTGCAATCGCTCTCCTGGGAGTGATTTATTTACATCATAGTCTTGATATTTCTGAAGTTCGTCTCATAAGACTTCATTGATGCCCTGATAGCCCACTTTAGTTCCTGGATTTTGTACTCCTTCAAGAAGTCTGTGAGGGAGTGTGTGCATGGGGAAGGTCTCACATTCAGATTGAACCATGTCTTGATAGTGCTTGATTTTATCTGAGATGACATTGTTGTGAGTGGTGCAACTGGATTAGTAGCGTCCTGGACTTCAAACCGAGTAGGCCATGCGGTCTTGTACCTGCAGTCTTGTACTGTATTGATTTAACCACTCACAACAATTAGTGATTGCATTGTATCATTGTAATTGTAAATCAAGTAATCTCACCATCTATTAAAAGTGTTGTGTATGTTCGTTCTCCAGTCTCCATGGTAATGATTGGACAATTGACCAATTGTTGTATCATAAGGGCCTGATAGACAGATGGTTAGCTAACCTTACATTAATTGCAGATATAATGGACCTATTCAAGTCATAATCCCGATAGTCTCCTTTAGGCAAATCAATTAAAGACAGTCGTTCCTTCTGCCATTGGAGGTCTGCTTTTGATGTACAGGACAAAATGACTTAGGGTACATTTTCATTCTATGTCTTATTGTTATTTTATTCTAAATCGTCTCATGTAGGGTTGAAATTTGAGTTGCAGCATGACGCAAGTCTGTTAAGAACGTGCTCAAGGGTCGGATCTAAAGGGCTTGGCTTCAGCTCGTGCGCTGCGCCCCTTACCCAAGTGGAATTCCGGTGGACGTTCAGGAACGAGGGATAAGACTAATCCAGACAATGTCCGAACTAGAAAGGAAACAGCAGAGGACTACCAGAGGTAGAGGCGGAGGTGAGAAGTCTATAGGAGTCGATCCTAAGACTAACGGAGGACGACGAGAGGAGAAACTCAAGTCGGACAGAGGAGGGAATGAGCAGAGTCTAAGATAATATTCGAACTGAAGAAGTACAAAGATTCTACAGGGTTTATATACTACTGAGGACTTAACGGAGAATCAGTCAGTGCAGTCCGAAGCTATGTGAGGCTGTGGACGAAGTGTATAGAAAAGTCAAACACTAGTCTATCGGAAAATAGTAAATGAAGACAGAAATGAGAACATAGTAAAATAAAGGCGGAAATGAAATGAGGTATGGAAAATGAGTATAGACTAACTTGAGAAGGAACATACAAAGGGATAAGGCACGGAAGATAGACGCGGGTCGGATCTGGATGTCCGGATGTCCGGAGATGTTTGGATATAATGCAGGATATGACAGAAGACTACATACCGTGCCTGGGTCTGATCCGGGAACAGGAGTAGGTACGATCGTACATGGCTGCTCTGAATCACTACTTGAATAGGAAAAGCTTGAGCAACCTAAATTCTTGATGAGCTGGAATAAAGAGGCCAGATCCACACCAGGGGGTGCGTCAAAACATATGACTGACGAGATAGGTTTATTCTGAACACCTATCAAGGACTCCAAGAAAATCTTGAGCACTCTCACATTACGGTCACCAGCACCAAGGAGGTCGCAATGCAGGAACTGAGGGGGACAGGAAGATGTCGTTCAAGAGTACAGCAGAAGGGCTAGGCAGGTTTGGGCGTTGACCCGCAGCCATGTCTGCTCGATGGATAAGCCTACGGAATGAAATTATAGGGGCGCAGCAAGGTCCCTTGAGAGGCGGGACACTTGGACGATTGACTGCAGATCGACCACAGGCAGATATGCAAAGATCATCAAAACAAGTTCGTTTGGAAAAGGCCAATGTGAAATTATCAGGGGAACAATTACTTGTCCACTAAAGGATGCTGCAGGAGAGAACCCCCCTGTAAAAGACAGGTATGAATAAAGGAATGTAGAGCATTGGAGCTGGCCTACATGTAAAAGGACGTGATCTGTGCTGCTTTGATTATCTGCAGCTGTTAAGTGAGCCTATAAACGAAAATGAGGGATGTGAGAAAGACTAGTAAAAGGTTGCACTCACAGTAATGTCAGCAATCACATATGAGTGGCAGAGAGCACGTGTCCTAAAGTGGGAGCCGTGTGAGGTCACCTCACTTGCTTTGTATTTCAAACACACAGCAGAGACTCTTTGCTTCTTCTCGAAAGGCAGAGTGGAGGTATCAAGAAAATCGTCCGTGGCCTTCCGTTTTGAAATTACTGGGTCCAACAATGATTGGAGTTTTGCATGTGAAATGACATGCATGGGTAAAACAGAGTGCGTAAAAGTCTTCGTGGTATCCATTGTTGCAGGCGTGAGTGATGGGGCACAAGACAAATTATATGATGTATTTATCTCGCAGACATTCGCCCACTCGCAACCGAATGATAAGATAAGCATGCAAGAACAACTGAGCAGATGGATGCAGTATGTCATGAAGGTATGGCTAAGAAATATCAAGTCAAATGGTCAAACAATAATACCATAGGTTGACTCACCAGTCCAAGTTCTAGATTCAATGAGAAGTCAAACAATAAGCCATCCTAAATGATTTATCAGCGTGCCAAGTACAGAAAAATTGAATCACCAGCTTTGCTTGAAGAAGTCAAACGGATCCCGGGGACAAGCTCAAGTCTAAACTCCTATCCCAAGTAGCGCTCGAACCCTGATTCAGCCTCCACAACAGCGTTGTTGAGTGAACATACAAATAATCTCTTATGTTCGGCGCAGACCAACACCCTATGAGTGTATTAATGTGCCTACAACATTACTACTGAGTGCACTACGACTTAAACAACAATTGCAATTGCTATACATTAAGCTTGAAGCTTGAAGTATCTAAGTTTAGTCTAAACAACTCATGGAAAATTCGAAGGAAAACTCAGCTAAGTAGTGAATCAAATTCAGTCAAAACTCCAACAGAAATATCCGATACGCCATTGTAAAGATACCACTCAGCTGTTTCGGACACCTCTGGCGGAGTCTAATTCTCATATTCACTACTTAAGCTCCAAACCTTGGTCCTAAATTTTCCCTTTCACATCATCTCCGTATACTAACTATATACTCGCCCCCAATCAATACATTGTATACTTTGTTTATATATATGAATTCTTCAATAATCTCCTAACACTAGTTAATGTTGGAGATTTTTGTTATTTAGAGGTCTTGTGATTCCCATTAATGTTCTTTTGCAATCGATATTATTGTGCTCTGTCGTTATGACATTTTGCAAACCAAAAGCATAAGTACAAGCAGTTAGTCTGATACTGCAATACTCTGATCTGCGCCCAGCTGGTCAAATAATATAATCATGTCCTTATGATGTGACTGGTAAGCTCTCAATTGCTCGCTCAACAAGTTGGTCTGAATATGCCCAAAGCCGCTCACTTTCGGTATTATTGCCACTTCAAGCCACTTACAATTCACTGCAACTTTCCCCCTGAGCGCACTTATACTCCTTTTCCTTTAACACAACACAGACTCGGCGACACCGGACGTCCCACAAAACACATCATCGGCAGCTCAGTCACTCATTCCCACCTCTCTGCCAGTGAAAATTCCGAAACCCTGAGGAGACATTTCCCATATCAAGAGGGGAGGATATAATTTATCTGAGGCACTTGGCTGGCCTTCTTCGGATTATGAAGAAACTCATGTGTGTCCTTATGCATGTCACACTACAATCTGATTTACTAATATTCAAATGCAGACATTTGTGGTGCAACTCGCCCACGAACATCTTAACATTAGCAAGTCCTTGAGTTCACAAACAAAGGCCGGTTTGACTATTGTATATGCAGAAGTAGGTATCCGTCTTGTCGATAATTTTTGTCACTCATATTTATTAGGCAAAGAAACAGTATCATGTCCTTGATCGTCATGAGGATAATTGGGTTGTTGGTGATATGCTCCGTATCTTCTTGAAAAACAGTCATAGTCGTTAGGAGTAACAGTTGACACTATTGTACAGTACACGTTCTAGGGCTCAAATCTCATCAGTCTGGAACTGCCCTGTCATTGTGACAGGGTATTCTTTTCCTACATTAGAATGGCGCGCTGGAAGGTCTGTAAACTCACTAATCTTATAGATGGTCCCTGGAGCTGATACTTTTGTGCTTAATGTAGGACATCAGCCTGCGCGTCATTATGTTGAGTATAAGATAATTGACTGCGTCCAAAATTCATTGTGTCTTGTATTGCGACTTATGAAATCAATATGACAATTAGCAATGGCATTCCATTGTAATCATAAAGCAAGTACTCTCGCCCTCTATTCCAACCCATTAAGAATGTTGACGTACATTCTTCAGTCTCCATGGTAATGATTGGACAATTGACTAATTGTTTCACACTATGCAATCTGTTTGACTGTCAGGACGGTACATGGTTAAATACGGGCAACTATTCTGATATCCTAAAGTTGATCATGAATGTAAGTTTCAACTTTAGTTAGGACCTTGCCATGTCCACTGACACCAAGTTAGTTTTCTAGCAAATACAGTGATCCCACGGTCCTTTGTACAGGACCGCTCTATTGTACAATTCAATTTCCTCGATGAGTTCCTCATCAACTCCTTGTAAATCTTGTATCATCATGTTCAGAATATATCCTGCTATTTGATAATACCAAAAAATACAGTACTCAAATTTAGAAAATCATCAGAATCTGCAAAATATCACTCTGGAGCAATATGTTTGAATTTCTCGAGCATCAAAACCTCACCATTGCATATAGTTTCACCCCTTCCAATTCATCTGCAAACAATTAGAAGTAGTGGAGATGATTTTAGTTAAAGTTTCATTGGTGCAACACGTTGTGATCCATGAGTGATGGTCCAATTTTGTTAGCCAGACTAAGCATGGACACGAGGTGTCCTCAGTTTGACTCAGTCTCACTCAACATCTACTTTTCACTGCCAGTATTCAATATACCTTCAAATCACACATATAGTCTTCCAACATGGTTGGGAGGCCAAAATCATTGATGAAGAAGGCACAGGTCACACGTGAGGAGAAAGACAAAGTCATGGCTCATGCTGTGGCTAAGTACCAAGCTGAACTTGCAAAACTGAGCTCAGAGAAGAAACAAGGCCTTCGGAAAGTGTGCATGGATGTTCAGAAGGAGTACCTCAAGGAGACGGGACGAGTTATCAGTTTAAATCATAATACTTTGGCCAATCTTGCCAAGGGAGGAGTTCGGCTTAGTGAATTCAATAGCTCGACGAAAAGTTGGCTCACACTTGCAGAAACAGACAAAGTTCTCGAATATGTTGTGGAAATGGCTAGACCAGGCTTTCCCCTTAGCCACAAGCGGCTCAAGGAGCATGTTGATGAAGTATGTCAAGCTTGACTTGGAGATTCATTCCTGGAGTCTGGAGTGGGAAAAAACTGGACTCAGCGTTTCGTCGAGAAGCACTCTGACCATCTACGAGCTTACCGAGCACATTCACTTGATGGTGCTCGTGGCCGTGCTGTGAACCCAACAACTAACAAGGCATGGTTCGAAATGTTGAAGGATGTCCTGGAGAGTGGAGATGATGACAAACCTATGGCACCAGAGTGTATTTGGGGTGTTGACAAGACTGGAATTCAACCAGGAGGAGGGAGCTCACAAGAACGAGCACTTGGTGGAGCTGGAACACAGGTTCAATATCAGCAGCGAAATGGAAATCGTGAAAACATTACTGTTTTGGTCACAATCTGTGCAGATGGGAGTACAATTGCACCAGCAGTGATCTTCAAAGGAAAAGCATATCAATCAAAGTGGAACGAAAACAATCCACTCAAAGCATTGTGAGTCCAACTCATGTGTTGTCTCGTACCTTATATAACATTGTTCCTCATAGTATTGGTTATTCGAAGAAGGGCTGGACTGACGGCGAGATTGGTGCACTCTGGATCAAGCAATTTGATGAGCAGACACGCAACAAAGCTAATGGTCATACTCGCCTACTTCTTGTTGATGGGCATAATTCTCACTACACTCGTGCATTCCTGGAGTATGCTTGACAGCACCGAATTCACATCCTCTGCTATCCTGCACACAGTACCCACATCTATCAGGGCCTGGATGTTGCAGTGTTTGGTGTCCTTAAACAGTATTGGTCAGAAGAACGTGACAAATGGGAGCGCGAGAACGGAGAGAAAGTGACAAAGAGCAACTTCCTTGTGATCTATGGTGCTGCCCATGTTCGTGCACTCACACCAGAAACAATTAGATCTGCATTCCGAAAAACCGGTGTATGGCCTTTCAATCCTAAAGTTGTCACAGACGAAATGTTGGCTCCTGCTCGTGAATCATCTAAACAGGGACACTTCCCAATCACTCCCGCATCACCAGTTTGAGCCATTTTACAGTTGTTTAAAGACCTGCAACCAAGGGCAGACACTCGTAATTGTGGTATGGAACTTGGTACAATTGCTGAAGAAGATGGTAGTAGTAATGACGAGACAACTCCAGGTAATTCTCACTGTTCAAAGATCGGATCAATAACTTATCAATCAGCAGATGAGAACACTTACGATAACAATAATCCTTCTCAGATTGATGGTAGAACCATCCACAACATCTTCGCATGACTCGAAGAAACATCTGCACGATTCCTCATATCATCATCTCCCATCAAATCAAGTACAAGGTTGCCTACCATGCCACTAGCAATAATCTCACCTGTCAAACACGCACTGAAATCGAGGTTGCACTGCAACATGTCCTTGAAGTCAACAAGGGAGAAAAAGCTCGAAGAAGAAGTGAAAAATCTCACCAAGCAGGTCACAATGCTCAAAGAGCATGTAAGCGCCCTTCAAGCAACTGTAATCCTCCAGGGATGCTACTGTGATCGAGTTCATAATCATCTCGAGACGCAAGAGAAGAAAGGCTGTAGGGACAGTGACAATATTAAGTTAAACGGAGATGGTATGCCAAGGCTACTTACCAGTGACGAGGTCTTCAAGCAAGTCCTGCAATACCAGGAGCATCAGCAGGCCAAAGCAGCCGAGAAGGAAACAAGGAAAGCAGCACGGGAGGCACGAACACGCGAGATGGAGGTGTGGATGCAAGAGGATGAGGTGAGAAAAAGCCGAAACAAGGCCAAGACTGAGCAGTGGAAGGTTGCTGTCAAAGAGTGGGAGGCCGAGCGAGTGCTTGCAAAGCAAGAGAGACGAAAACTGCAGTGGAAGAAGCCTGTTCGTGGATCAATTGAGAAGCCTTGCCCTAAGCCAAAGAATCCAAGGAAAATTGGTGGAAATATTGACGAGGAGGATGGGCAAGATCAAGGAGAGTATATTGACATTCACGAAGGGTCGATTGGTGATGACAGCGAGTGCGAGGATGATGATGAATAGGACAAACAGTGAAATGTGACACTTGTGACATATTGTAACAGGGTTCGTCACACTGCTGTACAAACGAGTCAGGAATGGGAGAAAATGGCTTGCTCAACTGTGCGAAGTGCCGCCAACTGTACAGGGCTAAAAATGCTGTAAAAACTTGGTATAAGGCAGATCAAAACCTATTCTGTCAGAGGTACCAGACCATTTTCTCTATATTGAAGATTTTCTAATTTTACACTCATTTCTTCATTTTCCTGTCCAAAGGAGCAGTTGATCACTGTATGCTCTCACTTGCCACACACAGGCAGTCAATGCATTGGCTATGAGTATGCATGGAGCATTGCTCCTTACTGGAGGTGATCAGCCATATCCTTGGCTTAACTTGTACTAACTGTGGGGACAGGCAACAATAGTTGAATAGTTGTATGGAGTCTTGTGTCCAGTGAAATGATCCAATTTTTTTTTGCACCAGCAGCAGGTTATATCAGCGCCATTATTTGGGTGGATATTGACGACCGTGGGGAATCAGCCTTTGCATTTGAGGCTTTAGATGGCAACATCCAAATATATGAAAGATCTAATGATGTAAGTGCGATAGGGGTAGCATTTTGGCTCCTGCTGACAATATTCGCATAAGGTGTTATTTGAATTCCGAAGCACTACCATTGGCCACTGTTTGGAACTTGACACCAGATAGTAAGTTGCCTGCCTATCAATCCACCATTCATGATGTTAATTGTTTTGTCAGAAACTCTCACGTCCATCATCTCGCAGCCCAATAAGCAGCCGTTGTTAGTTATATGATCATTCACCTCTACAGTATGCATTTCTATGTCTTTTATGTATCTAACCTTGCCATTTCATTTATGGTATCATTCCTTACACTTTGCTACCTATTTCCATGACTTCCTGATCTCCCTAGGACGTCCCTAGGTCGAGTTATTACTTACCCTTTGATTGTGGCTTGTCTGTTTACATTTGTTTACCATATGTTGCCCATATCCCAGAGTCCGTGCTTCCTGCCTCTTTGGCAACTTACTCTGGACTCTAGGTACTGTACAACTTCACTACACCATTCAATAGATAGGCAACTTACTCTGGACTCTAGTCTGATCTCTCCTGGTCTCTCAGTAGCCTCTAGAAGCGGCCCACTTCATTCCCATCTCAACAGCCATATATTGCGTGCACCATACACTTTTACGACAATGGAGCTTCTCTCCTAGTGTCGTTTCTCGAAAGCGGTGAAATGTCAGTTTACCATCGTGTTCTTGTTGTTACTCTAACCTTTCTGCAGATTCTGTTATTCTATTGAGCCTTGGTATTTAAAGTGGCATAAGAAGGTCCAAGGTAGAATGTAAGTTGGGGTTTCATTCCATGTGTATATTATTGACGTGTACGCTTTAGCGGTAATACCACCCTCGAGGGCAATTTTCTCCTTGTGAGCAATCTCAAGGACAGAGTGGATAAATACGCTGTTCCTACACTCCAGCGCGTACAATCTTACAGCCATGTCATACAGCAGTTGAGGCGATCACATTATTCCTGTCGTGGTAAATCATCTGAACTTGGTATTTGTCATGCTAAATAGGAGTTAGTCATACGAAGGGCGCAATGGGTGCACTGTTGTTACTGGCAGTTGCTTCAATGGACATAGTAGGTGTGAAGGTCTGGGAGGAGGGCGAATTGGTATGGTGTTTCCATACTGATTATGGTGATACCTAATTACTTCAGGCTTGGTTTGAGGACGACACGACACCCTCCTCACTCTCTGCAGGAACTTCACCGACCATACAGCTCATTCGGTTTGCTATTATCTGTGTGCTCGTGAATGTTGTCATGCATGCTCTCCACTCAGGGACATTGTCAAAATATTCCCTGGCATTTAAAGACAGTATAGTCCGTGCTATCCAAACTCCGTAGAAGCACACTATTTGACTTCAATTTCTATTTATAATGCATTATCAGTATATAGCCATGTTTACAATATGTACTACCTCCTATCCACAAAGCCTTGTGAGGAGTCCATATCGAACTTCACTATGGGCATAACATCACAGAGTAAAACTGAAGCCCCACTAAGTGCTGAACCGACAGCTCCACAAATTTTTGACAAAAATATAGGCCAGTATGGGCTCTCCCCCCTGTGCCCTCTTCATGCTCATGCTCATTGCCTTCATTTGCCTGGGTCAAGTGTCTAATGCTCGTCGAACTTGCATAAACAGCAGTAAGGTGGATTCATATTACAAATGGAGGGCATGTGGCCTTGTAACAAAGGCAATTGCAAAGAAACAACTTGTAGGAAGAAAATGTGCTTGTATTGTGAGGTAGAGTAAAGGACAGCTACAAGGCAGCAAGTAGTCTTGCCATCGTTGGGTTAATCTTCATCCTTTCACAACAGAGCCAACTCGGACAGTAATGGTGAGGTTGGACGAAGTTTCTCCAGAGGAAGGGACTCATCAGCACCCTCATGAGAAATCCATGCATTGAGGACTTCCTCGATCTCCTCATGAGTAATGCCACTGCACTTCAGATCTGCGTCTGCATCAAGAAATTTGTAGTGCCATACCTGAACGAGTGAGATCCTTGAGCCCGCCAAAGTAAGTTGTTGTAAGGTTCATCAATTCCTTCTTGCACCATGGAACGAGCACCAGCCCTGACTTATATGCAGCGGCAGCAGCGCCCATGTCCTCAACAGCCTCACCCCATCATTTGGGGTCTATTTGTCTGACCATCGGCCCATCAAATGTGGTAATGAAGTTGATCAAAATGTAGAACAGAGATTCTAGGTCATCGCTGGCAGTGTGTTCAATCATCGCACTTCCCCTGCCATTGGCTCTGTCAATTGCAGTTGCTGCATAGAGAAGGCGGATGGACATGTATGGCACAGTACCCTTCAGACAATATCAGCGACCTGAATCATATTGACTTCGATGGTGACTCACAGTACCCCATGAACGAACACTAGTGTTACTTTCCGTAATGATTTGAGCTTGGTCAAAATCGATGTAGTAGCCGCATCCATCAAAGATAATGAAATTGTTGGGGCTGAGGTCTCCATGTAGGATATTCCTTTTCATCATTGCCTTGTGCGCTGAAAATAAGTGATTAGTGCTTATTGGACACACTCAAAGACAGAAACCTACCGACTACGAAGTCATGAACTTATTGGCTCTCGTTTGGTTGAGTATGTTGATAGTGGCTCTCCACATGGTGTCAAAAGCAAGCGCCAGTGATATTTACAGCAAAACCCCAGGCTGAATGTCCCATGGAGATTATGGATCCACAATGTGGAGTCAGGCTGTCCCTCATACTCAACATCCCAAGCATCCATGAGAGTAACTACATTAGGAATGCCCCACACTATCTCAAGAACTCTTTCTTCATGATCTTTCTTTGCCTTATCCACCCAACAATCCTTCAGTGCATAGTCGCATCCATGCCGATCCTGAACACGATAACAAATAGTTCCGCAAGAGAAAAGACCCTGGCTCCTCCACAAGATGGAGATGATCAATAATCTTTCCTTCTTCTTATCCTCTATCCAGCCTATCGCCTTGTCCCCCACATCACATTGCATCTGTTTGCATGATTCGTCACACATATGCATGGTGGGATCCATGCCATGTGCTTTGCTATTCACTAATGACATGGTGTTTAGCATGTTGACGAGGCACACCAGATTCCCGACAATTGAGATGGGGCGTGTGATGATGAGGCCCAAACGGTCTGTATAATGGGTGTGGAGATTGTTTGCTGCAAGGCTGAAAATAATGACGAAGCAATGCCAAGGTTGTTCTTGCATCATGAGATAACCTTTGGTGGTCATTCCCTTGAACAACAGTATATCGCGGTGTGCGCCAAGATCAGATTCGGTGATCTCAACGCATGTGAGGACATGCGCCCAGCTTTTTGGTTGAACATTACAATCGAGCAGGACTACATTGGGCTTCTGGGTGTTTGTTGCATCCGGAATAGGAGTATTGCGAAACTCTGGTGACCACTGTCGATGAGGGTGTTTGTATTCTTGGGACTCAAAAGGGAACACTGGTGAGTGCAGAGGGTATACCTTCTTGTATGCCATACACATGACTGTATAGATGGTAGTGAAGAGACGCACCCCATTTTTGCTCTTCAGACCACTTCAGGGATGGCTTTCCGTCTGGTTTTCGGGGGTTGTATTCTTGGCAGCCCGAGGTCTGGTTGCTGGTATCAGGCACCACTGACACAAAGGATCCTTCACCGTCTTCCCACTCTTCTAAATCAGAAGAAGTATCTTGTGCCTGCTTCTGCTTCAGTGTCTGTTTCTTTGCATTTTTATTGAGTTCCCACTTGCGACCGGCGAATATAGGCACTCTGCTGGTGTAGGTAATCTTCTCAATATCCAAGATGCTGAGACTTGATATGGGGATCAGGTGATCCATGATAGAAGGGGTGATGGCAGGGAGATCTGTTTCTTCCCACAGGACGTTACCTGCAAGATCATTGTCCAAGAGATTATCCATGTGCGGTGTAGGGAAGGCGCTCGATGAGCTGACTGATGGCAAAATGCCATATGTTGACGTGCTCGTCATCGTGATGACAGATTCTGCTTAGATTGATCAGTATGAGCGACACCTATAAAAATCATGTACATTTGTGTCAGCGCTAGCTTCAAGTGTTCACGTTTGTGTTGCTGTGCGATAGCAAAGTAAAGATGCAAATAACTAGTGAATCGGACTTAGTCACTGACTGTGACTATTCCCAAAGTCACTGGCACTCCAAATACAAGGACAAATACAATGAGGCCATACAAGGAAAGTCCATGGTAGGCCCTAACACACAATGAATCTGACTGATGTCCAAACAAAAAACAAAAAGTCCAATAAAGTCCATATAAAATAACCATAACCATAACATAGGTATTGTGATTGGACATAGGAAAATACTTTGAGTACCTCTGTCGGTCCCCCACCTGCTGATGGTCTCAATTCGTCACATGGTTCCAGTCTCCTTGAGGAGAGAAAGCGTCTGATGACTCTTGATCTGGAATATACAATTAACCGCTGAGCCAAGAACAATGCCAGGCAAAAGTGTCCCCCATGCAGTAGTGGGATTGAGCGAAAACATGATATGTAGATCCTAGCGAAGCTAACAAAGGTTGGGACTGCACCAGATAAAATGTTAAAGTAAGGTACAAACCATACATCTCTGGGAAACATTGATCAGGAGATTTCCTGGGTGGTGGGCGTCACAGAATAGTACACAGCATGACATATAGGAATCAAATAACACCGAGCCATGTAAGAACGCATGTCAGTTCTAAGTTTCAGTGGTAAAAGTTATCTTACGAGCTCACCATTTTGATGACGGCCTATTTCTTGATCATTTGCAACTACAACATAGGGACTACATTGTACATCAACACTACTGGAATAGTATGATGGAGGAGGAAAGAAAACTGACTTACAAGAGTTTGAGGCTTAAGTAGTAAATGTGAGAATTCAGACTCCACCGGAGGTATCTGAAGACACAATTGCTTGCAAGTGGTCCACCTGTTGAATTGAGTGGACCTCTCATAGGGGTACTCAGAGGGCCACTTGTATATATATTTGACATATCTGCAAATTGTAAATAAATGTGTTGCATTTGTAAATGATAACAATTTTTAAAATTTGTTTTCAGACTTATTAATTGGGCAGACCTTACGTCTTATATGTGACTTGATCCTCCATATGGCCTTGAAAATGTCACATGACATATGTATGAACAATTGCAACCTCGGAGATGTCTCCATATGTGTAACTAAATTTTGGAAATTAAGTTAATATGCAATATATACAGATTATAAAACAAATTCTCCCTGTTTTTGCCAAACTTATTCTGAATTTAATCAATAGAATTTGATCCTTATGCATATCTGTGATTTTATTCAGAAACTGTCCATTATCCATACAATATACAAATAGATTGAAATATGCACAATTTTTCTCAGGATATGCAACACATCTATCTCTTTACAGAACTTTTCCGGCTGTGTCTCAGGTGTTAGATATGTCACTGCCACAAGTGGTCTGAGACTTTGGAGTCTCAGGCACAGCTATTGCTGAACTGTGAGCAGCATTGAACTTAGCAAGCTGAACTGGGTCTATGTTCTCGAGCCCATCATCAGGGGGCTGCATGAAGGTGACATGACAACCATGTGACCCAACACTAGTGGTCACAGTGAGGGGGTTGATATTTGGGCGAGTTGCCCAAATTCAGTGACAATTTGGAAAGAACGGGCTATTTTGCAGTGATTGCACCTACAGGATACACATAAAAATTACAGTAAAACAAACAATGAAAACTACAACTCACCCCAGAGATGTTTTGCTTTCATCAGCATATCATGGTCAGGACCACTCAGGGGGATGTAGAAGTCAACAATCACATCAGAATTTTCATCTGGAGGGTTCTCACCATCTTGCAACCCCTCATCAGTCCATTTCAAGGCTGCAGCATGCTTCATGTATGTAACATGAAGCCTGAATACTTACATAAGGTTAATAAAGACAACACATTAATGAAAACTCATGATTCAACCTTTTCCAAGTCCATTCTATCGCTGTCCTTTGATCCAAAGCATACAGATTGGGTAAAATGGTTTCTGCTATGGTTTTGTAAGCAGAAATATTTCAATCACCTTTTTTTTAGCTGGGAAACATCAATCCGCGCTTCAGAATGACAATGGTGGTTCACATACATCTTTGTCTTCTTTGATACCAAATAAGACTTTGAGGTTGACTGGCTTCTCAACCTCGGCAATGAGTTTCCATGCAAGGTCAGATGTCCATGTGATAGGTAGGATGCTAGTATCTGTTTTGCATGACATTACAGAGAGTGTGAAGTAACAAGCATGATAGAGATCCAAAGAGCATATATAAGTAGTGGTAGTATGCAGTGCAAGTATAGACACTGACCAATTCCGAAAGTAACTTATCTAATACAAAGTTAGGCATAGGCATAGGCGTAGGCAAAGTTAGGCGGCTACTTTGAGCTACCTTATTGATCACTAATACTAGTTGGACACAGTATGTATTGTACTAAGATAATTTTGCTTTTAATTGGACTCAATATGTCTTGATTAATAGCTGGTTGTGCATATTAAGGTTTCAATTGTGACTGTGGATACATAATAATGCTGGAAGTGTTATAGTTTTTCCTTGGCATGAGTAGATAGTATGTGAACCACCTGGACAAAAATCAAATGTGGCATGAAATTTAATGGTAAGATAGTCATGCTGTAAGGATTGATCAGTACACAAATTGCATGATAAAGAAAAGACTGACCACTAGGTCTGTATTATTGTCTGCAAATGCAAGATCTAAGTATGCTAACAGAAAGAAAGAAGTGAAAAACACATTACAGGCATGTGTTATATGACGAGATAACCAGGTGCATCATGATTGTGTAAGAGTATCGGTAAGCTACTACTGCACCTCTGAATGACATGTGCCTCATCAATGACAAAGCGCAGCACAATATTATGGAGACAGTTAACTCTGACTTTAGCCACTTCCTCCCCTCATTTGAAAAGAAGAGATAGGGAGGATGAGCATTCTCTAGATTAAATTACTATAATCAAGTGCATCAGAGTAGACACACACATATAGATAAGCCACTGCAGCTTTTGAATGACATATGCCTCATTAATAGAAAAGTACAGTGGCACAATATTATATCTCACTGTCAAAAACTTTTTCAAGACAGTTAACCCTCACCTTAGCTACTTCCTTTTATTGTTTTAAAGAGAAGAGATAAGGAGAATGAGCGCTCTCCAGATCCAGGCCCTGAATATCAAGCTTGGGAAAAATGAATCAATGGCCATCCCAAAGTCATAATCTAAAGTTCTTCACTTGTATAATATTCTTTCATTCAGGTCAAGTTCTATTTGATTTTTATGAGTAACTGTTAGCAACTACAGTGACCACAACATATGTTCCATGCAAGCTTCAAAATGTACTGCCTCCTTGCCATCTCCATCATCTAACCCTCTAATGTCTGCCTCCTTGCCATATTCACCATCTAACCCCCCAATGTCTGTATCCTCACTATCTAAGGAATTGCCCTCATCTGAGCTAGTGATGGGCGGTGACCAGTGTATCCTTCCAGGCAGTAGATGTGTATGAGGCAATCATGGTGTACAGTGTTGATTCTGTGCTGACAATGAGCTAACACATGCAATTCAGCTGCAAGTAGGTCATTTGTTGACTCAAGATCTGCAGCCGCTTGTTTCATATCACCATCCTCAGTATCAACCCATGCTTGCAACTGGCAAATTTCAACATTGAGTCTGATAATCTCCTCCTGACCATGGAGAACTTTGAAATGTTTTACTACTATCTCATGGTGAATGGGGTTTGTCCATAGTTTGGTGAGTATCTTGTGTCGTGAGTATTTGAGAAGGTTGAACTTGCCAAGTACTGCGTATACTATGACTTCACTATATTGCAGTGTGGGTCATTGGGTATTTTGCGAGACAGCGAGTTTGTTATACTTGTTAAGTGCAGAGTGGATTGCACTGGAATACTTTATAATGGCTTTAGAAATTTGTTTCCAAAGTTTATACCCTAAATTGGTGAAATTAGTAGTATAAATGAATGAAATATTGAATGTACCTGTTGATGCTAGATTAGCTTTTGATAGTTCAAACAAGCACACATATACAATTAGACTTTTGAGTTTCTCAATAGTGCAAATGAAGTGCCAGCAATGGCTATACTCTAGAGCCTTGATATATTCCACATAATCAGGTATCCAACAATCAGATACCCCAAAGTGAATTTCGAGATCTTCAACAACATTAATTTGGACTTGCAGCCTGCACTCCGCAGCATGGCAAACTGTATGTCTCTGTTTTGTAGCCTATGTCACAGAAATGCTGAGGCCAGAATTTGGTGTAAATGATAACTGATTGTATGAGACGAATTGATCTTGGCAGGAGGCATTAAAAGCATTCCTGAAATATTAAGTTAAATTGTGTATGTAATTAACAAACAAAAATAAACTCACTTGTACTTGGCCAGCTTCTCAAGTGCATCTACATATTTCACTGTCAGTGTATCATGTTGAGGCTCTGACCCCACAGTAAGCAGATATCAAAATTCTTCATCAATCCAAGAGTCAAAGTTGAGTACCTTGTCAGGGTACATTAGACAATATGCTTCAATCTCCTTCATATAGTCGGCAATTATTGTAAGCACTTGTCAGTAGTTATTGAAAATGAAGCGACCTAGTTTTTATTCAAATTATGGAACAGCATACACATGAGCAAAGGCACATGAGCAAAGCATTTACTGAGTTCAAGATATTTGTCCATGTTCTATTGATCAAAATGAAGGTTGAGATATTGGACATAATGGAAGTGTGAGACATGCCATATAAGTGATGCTGCAGTATTAGAGCCTGCAAAGATGTGTTTACAGGTCTCCAAGTCTTCAAGTCACTGGAGGAAGCTTGTTAAGGCTATCTTTGGCAAAGATGTTGGCATAGGTGTGGAGGTAGGATGGGACTAGCTCCTCACAACTTTCCTTCATTTTTTCTGTTTCTCCAGCTAAGGCATACTCTCGAGCCTTATTGCTAGCCTTTTGGTATCTTTGCTTCCACTGGGGAGGCAAAGTTCTCTGACCATATATCTTTGGTGTTGTAGTCTGTTTCATCCTGATCTGGCATCAAGGAAGGAGGTTCGTTTTTATTAGGGATTTCTTCAATGAAGGCTTGGAAAGGAGATGACAGGGGTTCAGTAGCGATTACTTTCTCTTTTTCTTTCAATTTGGAGTGCTTCCACATGTGAGAGGGTTCTTTTTGTTCTAGGGACAGTTTCTGAGTGGTAATATGAAATGAGTCCTCCTGTGGCCTCAGATCTGTCTGCCACAGTTACTAGGAAGGGTTTGGAAAGTTTGTAGGTTCTAATTTTGTGCATTTTGCAGAATTTCTCACTGATAAAAGTTCTGCATGCTTTGGATTCAATTCAGGAAACCCTAGCTGAATTCTTCGAAAATAAGATAGTACCCATCTGCTGATGATCATATGATTTGGTTAGGTGACTTCCACAGCCACTACCCCCTTTGGGGTGCAGATCACAACATGCCTCAGCACTACAAGGGCCTACTACTGATCATATCCTCATTCTTAGCATTCTGAACTTAGCAATTCCTCATGCCACCACAGAAGAGAAACATCACTTTAGGGAGACAGACTGGGACAACTTCAAGGAATATCTGGCCATCAAATTGGACAAGCTCCCCCCTACTCAACCTCTTGTCACTGATGAGGAGTTCCAGTAGGTAGCACGTACTCTCACGTTCTCAATTCTGAATACCATAGCAAGCAAAGAAGGATCATTAGATTAACTGGCTTGAGGAGTTTAAGAGTAATGACATCTAGATAGCTAATAAGTATATCACAGCAGCAGCGGGTGATGGAGGACTTTTGTGGATCCTAACACTGAGATGCTTGGACAATATCATAGCTGACACTAATAAAGAGAAGGATGCGGCTCTGGTACAAGCTTTCTTCCTACCTCCCCTGGCCACATCATCTGTCCTGTATGATGCATGCAAAACTAAGTCCATACAAAGCTCCTAGACCAGACAGAATTTGTAATATTATTTTCATCAGCTGTGCTACCTTACTGAAACCATATCTGCTTCACCTTTTCAGAACCGTGTTCACCCTCAAGACCTACTACCCTTTATAATGCAATCTCATGACTGTCATCCTGAGAAAGCCCAGCAAGCCAGACTCTACAGCCATGAAAGCCTACTGCCCAATTTGTGCTCCTAAATACAACTTGCAAGCTCCTAATGGCAGTTGTAGCCGATCAAATGACATACCTCCTCAAACAACATAACTTGCTCCCTGATACTCACTTCAGAGGCCATCCTAGTAGATTCACAACTGACTCGCTGCACCTTCTTGAGGATGCATGGTGGCAAGGGAAAGTAGTTTCAGCTTTATTCTTAGACATCAAAGATGTGTTCCTGAACATAGTTACTGACCAGCTTTTGCATAGTATGAGATCACATCGCTTGCCGGATTCCCTAGTAGGCTTCACTAAACATCTATTATCAGGTAGACGTACACAGCTCAAATTTGATGGTCACCTTTTGGCATGAATACTAATCCAGAATGGCATCAGACAAGGGGATCCACTATCCATGATCCTTTATATTATCTATAGCTCAGACCTCATTGACATTGCGATAGGGCATGGCAAGAAAGAACAAACCTTGTCCTTTGTAGATAATACGGTGTTCATTGCCATTGGAACACCATTCTAGGAAACTTACACTATCCTTAAACACATGTTGGAGAGGCCAAGAGGAGGTTATGATTGGGCCAGAGACCACAATTTAAAGTTCAAAACATCCAAATTTGCTCTAGTAGATTTATCTATGAACATTGCAAAGGAACACCCACTTCTCATGACTTGTGAACTACTCACTCCTACTGCCACTCACCAATGTCATTATTGACCAAGCTCTCCATTGGCAAGCACACATCACTTACACAGTAGCGAAAGGAACTACCTATGTCTTCCAGCTATGCCATCTTTTATCTACTTCCTCTTGTATATCACTCTCACTCATGTGTCAATTATATTTAGCAGTCGCACTCCTGAAAATGTTGTACACCATGGACTTATGGCTGTGCCCTCTCTCCATGGAAGAACATGACAAATCTCAGCATGGCTCAATTGGGGTAATCAACTATTTGTGCAGAGTCTAACATATTGCAGCCTTAAGCATCACTGGAGCCATGCGCACTACAGCCACAGACACGTTGGAGGCCCATGTGAAACTGCTCCCACTGGAACATTGTGTTATGCACTCAAATAGGTCTGTTATGCGGAGCCCTAAGAGGGGCATCATCCACTAATGTTCGTGACGTAACCGGAAGGATCCGGTGTAGCAAGTGAGACTGGCGACGACTAGTCGACAGCGATCACAGGCGCGTGTGTCATGTGACTACTAAGACAGATGTCTTTGAAGTCACTAGGCTCAAAGTAAGGACAGGCTTGTCTGAATGATGAGTGTTGATTGAGGTAGACTTAAGTGCGAAGAGCACTTAAGAAAGATACTAGAGACTGAAGCCTAGAGGTGTTCAGAGGGAAGTATGTTCCAGGGAAGATTGAGTAGATTCAAGTTAGAGAATCTAGTACAGAGTGACCGACTACTTATACCAAGTGGAGAGGATTAAGGGCAAGGTTACTGCACTGTAGGTCAAGGGTCAAGGGGAAATGAGAATGGTATAGGTGCATTGGCAACACAGCCAGATTAGTGGTGGATGGTTGAATGCGGAATGAGACCAAGAAACATTGGAACGATCTAACAGTAAGAATACAATGTGCGGGAAGCGCAGTCAGAAGAGAACAAGAAAGGAAAGCTACATTGGTGGCATGAGTTAGACCGAGTCAGAGGTGCGGGACCACATTGGTGGTCGAGTCATAAGAGGAACGTGCGTGCATGTGCATAGAGATGGGTGATGCGAGGGACAGGAACGGTCCCGAGGATCCGGTCAACAGATAGTTGGTAGAGGAGGACGAGCCGGTAGATGGTGAGGGTGAGGGTGAAGGGGAAATGATAGGAGGGCCACATGACCGATGTGACTTGTAACACATTATGCACAAAACCTATGCTACCAAGCTGCCCATTTGGCTGCACACCCCCCATCTCACCCCCTGCACAGACCAGTACATAGAGCAGCCAGAAAGTTCGTCAAACACTACAGGTCCTCTTTATACCATCTGTACTATGCTACCGAGCTTGACATAAGGTCAGTAGAAACTATCACTTACAGCAGACATTCACCAAACTCCTCAATTCCATATTGCACCACCATTGCTACATCTCTGGAGTAAGCCATTCAAGATCACAATAACTTCAAAGACAACATTAGAATATACTGCAATAGGTCTGGGATCGATAACAATGTTGGAGCAGCTGCAGTACTCCTCTGAACCAGCTAACCTCAGCCAAAGGTTCTGAGATGTCACCTGGGAATAGCAGATGAACACAGAGTATATAAGGCAAAAGCCATTAGCCTTCTTATACTAGCTGTACAGCTATTATCACAGGAAGAGGATGTCACCTACCTAGTCTCAATATTCATGGACAACCAAGCTACTATAAAATCTGGTGATGTATTCTTGACAAAACCAGGTCACTATCTGATAGACCATTTTCGCAGCTTGATAATGGATGTGAAGAAAACCAGTCATGATCGCAGGTTCAAGGTCACCGTCAGATAGATTTCAGAACATGATGGGGTTCAAGGAAATGAGCTAGTGAATGGGGAGGCAAGGAAGATAGCAATAGTTAGAGAAGAAACAAGTCCTCATTGTCACCTCCCTCCAAATCTCTGCAAGTGAGTTCTCCCTTGCAGCCTATCAGCATTGAAATAGAAGCAAAAACGAGAGTCATCTGATAGATGGGCAAGATTCTGGCAGAGGTTCCCAT